AGAGATAATGGGAGTGTCGGTGAATTAAAGAGCTGTATGGGGACCATTGAAAAAGAGAAAGTCAGAAAGAGAGAGAGAGAGAGAGAGAGGGAGAGGGAGGGAAGGGGATGTGATGAGCTGGCATGTTATTTAACATCAGCCCACAAGTGAGCCAGTTGGATTTGTTCAGTTGAACACAGCCCATTTTTGTCTTGATTGTTATTTTCATTTACAGCAAGACTAACAGATGTGACTTGCTTTATTATGTGTCCAGGGTGTCGTACAAGGATGTACGTAACTTTTATGTCGTTAATCAAAAAGTGCATTAGTAGAGCATTTTAATATTATCAAACAATTCCATCAAGCATTTGGAACTTGGTTACAACATGGATATATTTGTCTGTTCATGCTTGAATAAAATGAAGAGGAGTTCTAATATTTATATGTAAGATATACAGACTTGTTTTAGCAGCATTATACATTGTTTATCCAAGATGCAGGGCTTAGTGAAATTGATCTTGGCTGAGAAACGTGAACCATGGTGTGACAAAAAGTGTCTTATGCTTATCAAGTCTGCATTCATTTGATCAAAAATACAGAAAGAAACCCAGTAATACTGTGAAATATTATTGGAATTTAAAATAATGGTTTTCTATTTTAAGATACTTTAAAATACAGTTTATTTCTGGGATGCAAAGCTGAATTTTCATCAGCCTCACATGATCCTTCAGAAATCATTCTAATATGTTGATTTATCATCAGTGTTGTAAACAGTTGTGCTGCTTTCAGGATTCTTTGATGAATAAAAAGTTAAAAAGAGCAGCATTTATTTAAAATCTTTTGTAACAATACCGTTCAAATGTTTGGGGTCAGTATTTTTTTTTCTTTCTTTTTCTGAAAGAAATGTATATTTTAGTCAGCAAAGATGTGCTACATTGATAAAAAGTGAGAGTAAAGACTTATATTGTTAGAAAATACGAAAGAGAAAAAGACAAAAAGTTGTCAGAATAATGTAACTGTGGTTTTCATGATCGAATCAATTCTTGACAGATATATTATTATATATAACATATATTATATATATTATAAATATTCCCAACGATTTTTCTTTTCATTGAATATCCTTTTTCACTTCAAAATATGATGCATTACAGAATTAAAATCCCCTTTGCCTTCATGATAATGATTTGACGTTAAGTTGAATGACTGTGAAAAGTATAGAATGAATGATGATTATATTATTTGACATTAAGTTGAATGACTGTGAAAAGGATAGAAACTTGAAGCATTTCCATCTTTATATTTCATTAATCTCTCTCACACATGCACACATACACATGCACAAACACACACTTGCACACACGCATCTCTCACTCTTACTCTTGATGGATGCGGCCCTTCAATAAGTTACTTTTTTCGGGAAGACTTTTCTGTTTGCACATGAATTTTGCCTAAATTACAGAGTCTGGTAATGAGAAGTTATGCTAAATGCTGTAAAATATAGGCTAGCCCTTCACATTTGCGGCTAAACTCTGGATTAGCCTTACACATTGTTATGCAGAGTTGAGGTTTTTGCAGCCCAGTGACTTTTCCTCTGTATTTTTCGGCACCGTCTGCAGAAAAAAAGCTCCACGTTTCTCGTTGGCTTCATACGCCTTTGAAACACAAACGATTGCCGTTGTGGTCACCATACATGCGACAAACCCTTTTTAACATGTTTGCGCGCTGCATATTTAGAAAGCAACCACAGACACTGTTATATTTATAAAATGGAAACAAACACAAAAATACTTATTGTTAACACACATCAAGTGGCTGAAGCGTGTCAACCAGTGATTCATTTAGCCGTTGCACATTGTTATGCAATTTATTTACCGCCTTTGATGTAGAACAAGACTTTCTGGAACGTGCAGACCGCTGTCCGTTTCACAGTTCACAGATTTAATAAAAGCAGTTTGGTTAATATGCTACATTGCAGTTAGCAGGATGTTGTTTTATATTTGATTCACCACGACCTGAGGAGTTCAGGGTGACTGTGGCGACTGAAAAAGAGCAACTTTCTGAATGAGAAAAGTTTCTTCCCTTCCCACACTGGCTAAAGCTGAGCTTGGAGTTGAAATTGAGGATGAAATTTGGATTTGGATTTGGAGAGCGATGCTAGTTCCCAGTGTGCTCTTATTTTTAGGCCATTCCCATATCTGTGCTTGCTTGCCAGTGCTGTGTATTCTGTGGTTGGAAGAGGAAGTCCAGGCCTGGCTTTCCATCCCCATGACCACAGGGTCACAGGGTCAGTGGTTGGGTGGGGAACCGTCAGTCATACCGTTAATCCAGGAGCTCTGCACTCAGATTAGCAGCTCTCCTGGACCTGCAGCCTTTGATACCGCTCTAATCCTTTGCACTGTTGTTGATTCAGGAGCTTATAGTACAGATTCACATATAGTACAGATTCACATATAGTTTCATGTATTAGGTTTCAGGTAAATTGAGCCATTTATGACAGTCACCTCAATGTCAAAAAGTGACACAGTTTACTTGAATTCAGTGTTTGGAAATATTTGTGTGTGTAAGTGTGACTGGCCTGTGAATGAGTTTCGGACACATGGTGGAACAGTTGCTACGTCTTACATGTTTGATTTCATTTATCTGGACTTTCTGTGTGTCAACTTGATTAATCTAGCTAAACTTTACCAATCTAGTAAAGTTAGATAAAATCTGAAAAGCATGCCAACATAAGTTATTGATAGCGGGTCTTATTTAGAATATTTTGAAAATTACAAACCAATCAGTCAATCAGTTCCCCCCCATGTATGGCATAATTTTACACCAAAAGTTTAATGAATTTATGGCTGTCTAGGAGTTTTCTGTTAATTGACTGTATAATTCCATTATTATTGGAAAAATTCTTAATAAAAAAAATAGCAGTTAATGAAAAAAAGCAAAAAAATAAGTATAGTAATATATACTGTATTTTTTCAATATTTAAAGAATATATTGTTAATAAATAGTATTATATATATATATATATATATAATTTATATATATTTAAATACTTTCAAACTTTTCTTAAATAATACATGTAAATAGAGTGAACATTTAAAAAACATTTGAACATTTACAAATAGAAAAGTCTGTACAAAGAAAACTGTACAAAAATTAAAATCTAATAATGTTTTTTGCTCCTAAATATCTACTCTACTCATAAATAATATGTGCAAATAGTATACATTTAAACAAAGAAATTTACATTTACAGTAAATAATTTTTATTTATTTATTTATTATTTAATTAAATTAATAAAAGTTAAATACTTAATTTTTTGGTGCCAGTAAAAATGTTGGCAATTTAGGTAGAAATCTTACTGTTCAGCTCTGTGTCAAGGATTTTAGCTTTAACTATGATTTTTAATTATACTAAACATTATACTAGATACACCAGATGTACTAATACTTGATTATATTTTGTTGGGGGGTGTTTTGTGCATTATTTATTTTTTATTGGCTTGTCATTGCCTTGTCACAAGGGTAGTAATCAAGTGAAAATGAGATTTCAGATACAGTCACCTCCCTATTAAAGGGGCTGATGTCATTCTCTGAGGAGAGGATGTCAAATCTCACACCATCACTGTGAGCCTTATGAAACACTTCCTCCAGTTAGAATTTGATGAAGAGCACAGAGAAAGAGTGAGATAGTTGAATTTACACAAGTATTTTTAGGCCATTATAGGCTCTTTCCCACCAAACGCCAGCACATTACGGTTAAAGCCGCCCCTCACCTTTTCACCGTCTGCTGCAGTCAGATTGATCCTGCGGTACAGCTGACATGAAAGCACATGGAACGGAGCCCACTGCTGGAACTCCAGCACAGACCGAAGCGAGCGCACTGGAGGCTGCATCCGTCTGATGGTTATCAAAGTCCCTGCCTCGCTCCCGGCCGAGTGACTAATCTGAAGTACCTGCACGGTGTCTCTTGCAATGAAATATCTGGGTCAACCTGAGAAAGATGGAGCACAGCTGGAGAACCAAAAATGTTTTTTCCCTGACTCAATTACTCTGCCAAGTTCTTAGGAAGCAATCTACGTTCTGCCTCTTGAAGTTGTAAATACATTAAAACTCTTGAGCCAAGACAAGGGAGTTCTGGCTCGAGAACGAAGTGCAACACTTTAGTTTAAGGGTCTAACATAAGGGTCTTATAACAACATAATGGGCTATATATAATGTTTGCCTGAGGATGTATGCCCCGCGGTATCAGGCACTTAAGTTTTAAAAGGAAGAGTTTAGTCTTAGATCTAAGTCTGAGTTATTTTAAGTTAACAAAGCCTAAAGTTCTGAGATGATTCAGGATCAGTTCTTGTTATTTTAAAGGGATAGTTCACCCCAAAATGATTTTTTTTTTGTTAATTTACTCACCCTCTCTAAGATGTAGATGACTTTTTTTTCTTCATTAGAACAGTAAAGAAGAGTTTTAGCTGAAACCATGGTCCTTGGTTACAAAATGCAAGTCAACAGCTAACGGCACTTTGAGAGTCAAAAAAAGCAACACAAGCAAAACAAAATTAATACCCATGACTTCTTATGATATATTGAGGTCTTATGAAGTGAAATGAACAAACTATGCAGGAAACTGAAAATTATTTACAACATTATTACCTATAATCCAGAGCCGCAGGCAAATGGGGAAGACCGATTCTTTTTTGTGAACTGGTTCTTTCAGACAGTTTGTTTCAATGAATTGGTTCAAATAATTGATTCACCAGTTTGATGAGATAATCATGCAAGGACATAACGTGTACACCAGGGCTGCCCAAACTCGGTCCTGGAGGGCCGGTGTCCTGCAGAGTTTAGCTCCAACTTGCCTCAACACACCTGCCTTTAAGTTTATAGTATGCCTAGTAAGAGCTTGATTAGCTGGTTCAGGTGTGTTTAATTGGGGTTGGCGCTAAACTCTTAAGGACACCAGCCCTCCAGGACCGAGTTTAGGCAGCCCTGGTGTACACAGTTATATTATTAAAACACTCAATAATGATGTGGAAGAAAGTCACCTACTTCTTGGATGGCTTGAGGGTGAATTAATAGCAACATTTTATTTTTGGGTGGACTATGCCTTTAAGAAGATTGAAATGAGTTAAAGGTGACATATCATGAAAATCTGACTTTTCCAGGTTTTAAGTGCTATAATCAGGTCCCCGGTGCATCTATCAACCAAGGAAATGTGAAAAAGATTAACCCAGTAACTTTGTTTTTTTGTAAGCCTTTTTCTGCAAGCATCTGAAAAAAACAAGCGCGTCTGATTTCGCTCCCTTGGTGACGTGGCAAAGGGATCTCATTATAATATTACCGCCCCTTAATCTGTGAGTTTACACCCACGGCACTGTCATTTGATTTCGCAAGCGACAACGGTGTACTAGTTCTAATGCCATGGCGAAGGTTTGAGCAAAACATGCTAACTGTTCTGTCTTTGGCTGCACAGACGAGCACAGAACACTATTTAGAGTCCCAGCCTCAGAGGAGACGAGAGCAGTGGATTTATTGATGTATTTAATATATATTGCTGCTGCCACACAGATCTAAAATAAACATGCAATTTATTTCCCAGCAGTTTACCTTCACAGACATACTGTAACTGACTGTTTTTGTAACTCGTGTATGTTTTTAACGTAAACTTGCGTGTGAATGAGAACTTAGTTTAGTACTCACATGCTGTGGCAGCCGCTTTCTGTCCGTGTGCTTCGGATGTGTGCTCTCAGAAAACCGTATATCAGAAGTTTAAACTCATATGCATGATTTCAGCGCGATAAACATTATAATCAGAACCAAAACAGATGTTTTTAGCAGGTCCGGGCTGTAATGGCACAGCTCTATTCGGGAAAAGGGGGCAGGGAGCAGCAGCTCATTTGCATTTAAAGAGACAGGCCCGAAAAACAGCGTGTTTCTGCTTCCACTCAAAATAGGCATTTTCAAAATGTTATAATAAATGATCTGTGGTGTATTTTGAGCTGAAACTTCACAGACACATTCTGGGGACACCAGAGACTTATATTACATATTGTAAAAAGGGGCATAATATGTCTCCTTTAATTCACCCAAAAAAATTTGAATTAATTAAAAAGACAACATTTTGAATAACATTGGACCCCATTGACTTTGATTGTATAGTATATTTTTTATTTTCTGTAAAAAAAAAGTACACTGGTTTAGAGCATCATAAGGATGAGTAAATGATGACACAGTTTTCATTTATGGGTGAATAATCCGTCTATGATCCAATCTGAATCACATTCCTTGTATTTTCTCTAACAAAACTTTCAGGTACATGATAAGCTGCAAGATAAGCCTGTGATATCTGCTCTGTTAATCATTTTTTTCCCAACTTGCCATGACAAACAACAGCATTGTGCAATAGGACATTTTCTCAGTAGCTGTTTTTTTATTTTCATTATCTTGCCATAAATAGCCCTGTCCACACTGAAATCTCATTGGCTTCAAATCCTTTTCCACATAACTGTGTATTGAACATTAAATATGTTTTCATTGACTGTGATTTAATTTTTTGGTCAATGAATAAGAAGCTAATGAATCTTTTAGTTAAAATGCATGCGCCTAGTTTTAAGAAAAGGCATCTTTTATTTTATTTTAGAAAAGATTATACCATTTTCATAAAAAAATAAATAAATTTAATGACAAATTTGCCATGCTGTAGCCATCAAGAATTTTTTTTTTTTCTTCCTTGATATATCAGGACTGTTATGACAAAAAAGCTCACTGTATTGTATATGGCTTTAAAGCTGGTTAATGGAATGAGAATGAGTGGAACTTCTTTGTTTTTCTTTCTTTTTTTAATGATTACTTTCACATCACACCCCTCCTATACCTCTAGCAGACATGCCTCTACCAGGTCCATGCGCCCTAAATATAGCCCAACTTTGGCTTGCGTGTCTGGATTTCCTGTCAGCTTCAGATCTGGGCTGATAGCACTCTTTCTATCTTAAGGACATGTTAAATTAAACTACCTCCATTTGTAACTGCCCTCATCCTTTCCCTTCTAGTCTCCTGTCCTATATCATGCTTCACTGAACTTGTTGTTGGGCTTTCCTTCACGGATTGATGAGAAGTGTAAACCCTTGAGGTACAAAGATGAAACGGTGCAGTCATTGTTGCCATGGTTGACCACATGTTGTGTTGTTTCTCCGACATGACATGGTTTTTCTGCCTTTAATGCCTTAACCAGTTACAGTAGCATCTTTGCTCGTTCTGTCTGTTATATTCACTCTTACTCTCCTCTTTTAATTAAATTACTTTAATTTGTGGCAGGAAATTGAATGACAGAGCCTGCTAACGGATAAGCTGAAAACCAGTCAAGGTTAGGACACGTTGTAACAACTACGTTTTCCTATATGCATAATTTTAGGTTTGATAATTTTACTCATTAGACAGTTTTCATGATAAAACCGTCTTGGCAAAGTAGTTCCCTTAAATTTCTCAATAAAGCATTGCCATACACGTTTAGATTGATGCCTTTGGTCATTGCGTCACATAGTCTGATGTTTTTCGAACGTCCTGCCATGTGTGTTGTCAAGTTAAAAATAATTTGACTTTTAAAAACATGCTTTGAACATTCAGTTCCATTCTATTTTGCTTCGTCAACATGTCTTATTTAAACACCTTTAAGAAACACGTCCAATCAGGTTCAGATGAACTTGGAACTAGCTTAATTATACAGAGCTTCCCGAAGACGATTAGTGGACTAGCACACAACTCAATAAACAGTTGCCTTTAAAAATATGGAATTATGCACATCCCTAATATTCACAGGGGAAGGAAAGTGCAACATTAGTTCAACAACTAAAATCGTAAGTTTAGTTAAAAAAAGGGGGGGAAATCCCAGACATTCTGTAAAAAAAAAAAACACTTAAAAAATCTGCTGTAGTTTACATGCAGAATGCAAGAGAGATATATATATATATATATATATATATATATATAGAGAGAGAGAGAGAGAGAGAGAGAGATAGATAGATAGATAGATAGAT